GGGCTAAGGGACATATTATATTGGGAAAAGTAGACAACTTTGGAAGTTCTGATCAATATCAAGAAATTATAACACCATCACTTTAGAGGCAAGTGACTTTATTTTCTTCCGAGAAAATACATTTATAAAGGGGAAAAGTTCCCTTTATTTCATCAACAAAATTTATTCTGAAATATGAAATACTGTATGTATTTAGAAGAAAAAAGCCATAAAGTATGAAGATTTCTTAAAAAAAATACTGTGTAAATATAAATAAATAAATATACTGTGTAGTTTACAAATATTCAGGGTCTTTATAAATTTTTCAAGTTTCTTAAGTCACCTCTAATTGTAGGATTTACTAATTCAAAAGACACACATAAGTATTTACAGTCCTTTTTGTATCCAACTACTTTTGTTTTTCAATTCAACATCATGGTTTCTAACTAAATTATCACAATCTTTGTTTATTAACAATGAGTTATAACTGAACAAGTAACTTATAACTTGTAACTGTTTTTGTTTTGAACTGTGTCTCTTAGAGTCAACATTTCATTTACTAAGTAGTATTTGAAAACTAAATTGTCAAAATCCAGAAGATAGTACATTTTCTTAACAGGATGGCTTGGGAAAATACTCTTGGAAATGGTATCATGTGAATTAAATCATTAAAGTAATTAAGGTAGACTAGATGATTTATTACTATATATACAAAATCTAGAAAATCAGAGTTAAATATACAATTATTTAAAAATAATCTACAGTGATTTATATTCTATCCTATGTCATTTATACAACATAGGAATGTTGTATAAATTAAATGATATTTTGAAGTTTTCAGAGAATGCCAATAATTGGTCTGAGTTTTCTCTAAAAAAATGGACTGATACACCAATGGATTTTAACATGAATTTGTGACTACACAGATATGACCTAAATCTTAACAAAAATAAGGCCGAAATTAAGTGATTTCCTACATTGGAAATTATAACATTAGAGACTTCCTATCAACTTCTGTGGAAAGTTATAATTTGATCAATAAAGAAAGATATTTAGAAACACAGGGTAAAAAAAGCAAAGTTTAAAATGTTCACCTTCAATTTATTTCATAGGTCACTGTTTTACCATCTAATAAGATAATTAAAAACATGCAAGCAGCTGGTACTACAGCTAAACAGATTAATGTAATAGTCTGTAGTCATATGTGCTGGCAAGGGGTTCGCCTCTTTGGAGAGGAGAAGGTCAGCTGCCCTTGGGAAGAGGAGGGGGCTAGTGGGGAGAGAATATTCCTTTTACTATGAGGCCCTGTGCTACAGTCACTAAGTCAAACATCTACTGCAAACTGCTAAGTGGCAAACTACTTTTCTTTCATGCCCAGCAAAGATCTCTCACTATAGCAGTTAAGTAAGAAACAGAAAGCTCAGATAATCTTGACAGAAAACATTGGTCTTTAAAAAGTGCAAGATGTACTGCCTAAGTCAACAATGTCTTCTCAATTCTTACAGATTTTCCATTTTAACACATCATCATCAAACTAATTGTGAGATATGCAATAAAATTTCAACAAAAACTAGTTATTAACAAGATCTAGTCTATTAACCAGGCATCATATAATAATCACACAGTGACTCAGGAGTTAAATGCAGCTGTACTCTATCTGAATCAATGAAGAAAAACCACAAAAGATACAAATCCAAAGTAAAGCCTCCTAGCCTGTGAAAAACAAATACATGAGCAGTGGACGCACAAAGCTATAGTTAGGGTCCACTGACTGTAAATTTTAAAATTTATTTGTTAAAATTCTAAAACATATCTCTAAATTTATACTAATAGTAAAACATCCTCCTTTCATCTTTACTATGTGTATAAATTTGTTGCACAAAGGCAACATAGAATGCTGTATCAGAGAGTGAGAGTTTCAAGCCTCAAATTAAGCTTGTTCTTAGCTCTCTTCTAACAGACAAAAATTTCCTGTTTTTTTCTTTTAATTCTTCCTTACGGTGTCCCTGTGTAAGAGTACTGTAAGAAGTCCTACACTCAAGAAGATTAATGATGATGACAATGATGGTGATGACGTCAACTACAAGATAAAAAACCAGCTAATATTTATTCAGCATTTATCATGTGACACCCCATTAATTCCTCATTGCAAGTGTGTTTTATTACCGGCAACTTTACGGTGTGGAAACTGAGGTTGAAATATGTCCAAAGTTTCCAAAGCACTTGGAGTAAGGATTTAAATCAACTCACTAGGTTTAGATATTATTAAGAAACAAAAACCAAAACAACAAAAAACAAAGACTCTGCCCTCTTGAAACTGACAATCTATGACCAAATAACGGAAAACAATATAGATTTAAGTAACCATTTCAAAAGTTAAAAAAACCTCAGCAGATGCTATAAAAGGTACACTGTTGAAGGGTTAAGACTGAGGTGACCAAGTTGCTAATCTGCATGATATAAGCACTAAAGAATTAGTAATATCAGGCTTTTCATTTACATTTTCAAAAGGTTTATCTTACACATTTGATCACAATCTTTATGAGTTGTGAGAAGGAAGCAGGTTACACATTATAACATCCATTTCATAAGATGACAAACTAAGGTTAATCATTATCCTGGACACAAATAAATACAGCTTGAATATACTGGAACTAGGCTGACAGCCAGGACTGACTCAGAGGTAAGAAAGGTCAGGGTTTCCGAGGCAGTTAAAATAACACAAAGGTAGAATTGTTAGGGTAGAGGATGTTTGAGGACTGGAGTATCCACATTTTTCTAATAACCTATTTCTTCTTAGTTTAAAAGAGCTATAATGGCAACAGAAAAATAATTTTCAGTTTCAAAAATAAATTTTTATGACAATTCTATTGCCTAGGTTTTATCAGTTAATCTAAATATGAAAGTATACCCCAGAGCTGTGCTCCTATGAATTCTGCATTTAACCTAAGTGTCAAATTCACAAGCAAGCTCATTATATTGTAAGAGCTATTGCCTACTGAGCAGAAAAATATTCATTTCACACCTTAAATACTATAATACTATTTTATAACAGCACAGGCCTGCTAACTATTAAAAGTTCATTTTATATACTGTACTACCTGAGTGTTTTATCTTGCCATTTTAATTACAACAATAAATTAATATCTTAACATTACAACACTGACAGGCATTGATTAAAACTATATTAGTTAACATTAGCATTTATTGTGCAAAGTTGCATTAGGAGTTCATTTTCAAAGTCTAATTATCATTCAATAATACTCAGACACTTTAATCTTCAAACTTCAACAACAAAATAAACTACAAGATAATACTGTGCCTTCACAGTAACACAGTTCTCTTAATATTATATTAGGTCCATTATTTACTATAATTAGCTAAACTACAAATGTAATTGTAAAATATAATTCATCAATAAAATATATATAAATCTGGATTTTGCTTCCTTTGAAAGACATCGCTGTTTTCTTTTTGTATTGGTTACTTTTTATTGTATTTATATCTAATAATGATATTACCACCAGAGATTTTACATATATTATCATATTAAAATTCTTTAGTTGCATGCCAAATCATGAATATTTACTTAACTTTTATATTCACTTTTTCTTTTCTTGGTGTAGTCATCTGTAACATGTTCAGATAGAGGAGTCTACCTATTATTTAATATGTCTAATTCCCAGCTTTATATTACACTTCACCTCTAAAAAAAGGATTTGGAAAATTCCAACATTTGTAAGGTAGACTGGGTACTGTGAAATATAATGACAACATATGAGCTTTCCTGCTGTGACAACACCCTCTGGAACACCAGAGGAACATAAGCCCTTTGTAGTATCTATGAAACTTGAACAACTGAATATTTATACAGACACTAACTGATATAAAATAAAAATGTCAAGCATTTTAACTGCCTTCTCATTTTTGGAATTAATAAACAAATTATAATAACTTTCATCCTAACTATATTCTTATAAAGTGCTTCTTGTATACAAGGCCCTACTCTACAGATCTTGAAAGCTTGTCTGGGATCTGAAGAAACATGACACAGTTTCAATTAGGAATACAGAGTATGTGTTCAAATAAAAATACAAAGATTTTAAGCATAAATTCCATATTTACTACATAAAAAGAGAGCTTAACATTCAAATGAGTTTCCAAGTGTACAGTGGTTCTTGCATGTATTTCATAGTGTCATCACACAGGAATCAAAACTAATTAACCACAAGGATGATGTACTTCAATTATAGTATTTCTCCAAGATCCTGCACTGTTATCTATAATGATAAAATGTATGACTATTGAATCTGTACAATTTTTTTCTTAGAGGAAAACAACCTAGTTCTTGCATCATGTAGGTTCATGATATGAATTTTCAAAACTGACTAGAAGTACTTTAATGTTTCTTCTTCCTAGATTTCCCTGTTACGAAGGAACAAAACCCATAAACATTCATTCAAGCAAATTCAACTTATAAAGAGAATAACAAAAGACTAGATAAGATATATGTTTTCTTAACTAATGTATCCTTTCTTTAAAAATCACTAATTGAGATGTAACTGTCCTGTATGCTGAACAGCCAAACAGGATATTAATAAATAACATATAATGTAACCATGGATTATATTTTATATTCCCTTAGATGTTAATAAACAGTATACTCAGTTTTAGTAGGAAACTTAAACAAAAGAAAACCTTTAGTACTATAGCAGATATACTGGAAAAACAAAAACAAAATGGATTATAAAAAAAGCTTAATACTACAGATACATTCATTCCAGTTATCCTACTACGGGGTAACAACTGGTATCTACAATAAGTCTGTTTACTCAAGAACTTAGAATTTATATTTTTCATTACTCAGTGAGTCTGCAGAACAATTGTATATCACAATATTCTTTACATTTGTCATATTTTTAAAGCACAGGTAACAGTTCCTCACTAAGTGCACTACCTGTACGATTAGGTAGCTTGCACATCATCTTGTATTATTATGTATCTATGTATTCAACACCTACCTATAGGAATTAAAAGTCCCATCAGAATCTAAAGTAGAACTTCTTCTTCTTCCATTTTTATTTGAATCTCCTAGAAAAAAAAATTTACAAACACTCAAATAATGGACATGATGAAACTGATCACTACAGCTGAAAGCTACTGTGTGACAAATCTATGCAGTATAGTGGGTAAAAGAGCATATATCCCCATTATCCCTCCCCCAAATATCTTTTATAATCAGAGCAAAAAAACCCTTTTTGATGCTAAAATAAACCAACACCACCACTCCTACCTTGCAGAGCAATACTATCAAAGCAGTTACTAACAGGAGCAAATGAAGCACCATATAGACATTTCTTCTTATAAATCACAGACAAAACCAAAATTTTAAAGCAATTTCAATGTAGACAAATGTTTATAAACAAAGGGAAACTTTTTGTTAGCAACCGAGTCACACATCCTGACACTGGTGTGTCATAAGAGAGCAGGCAGGGGGCAGACCTGGAATATCTTCCAGTCCCCACTTCTCCTCTCCAGGAAAGTGTTAAGCAGAGAGGTAAAACCAACCCAACTTGGGAGGTGATGATCAAGAATGCATTCTAATGAGCTTTTAATACCTCTTAATATTCTTACCAAAACTTTATATTTTAACTGTGGGCAAAAGTTCAGCAGTATAAAAAATGAAAAACCATCATCATCAAAAGGTATTTCTGCTCCATGTAGTAATATCAAACATTTAAGTAAAAAAAAAAAAAAAATTCCACTTAAGGAACTGGCATATTTGTAAAATAAGACAAAGAACAAATTCAGTTTCAGAATTATGGAATATGAAATAAACTTGTTAAAATGAGCTAAAACTTTGCTTGATAATGCCACAACATAAAATATATATCCTTATGGATAGAAATTTAATTTTAGTAGTTTAAATTTTAAAATACATACTTCAAAGTATAGTTTTTAATAAAATCATAGTATACTACTACTAAATATACCATTTATTCTTAGAAACAAATTAAAAAGACTAGAATCTGATTCCATTTATACTTCATGAATGTAACTTTAAACATCAAGTTATATTCATTTTTATGATATTTAAACCTTAATAATTTAATGACTTATCCAATTTTAATTTATACTTTTAACCCACGTTGAACAATCTAAGGTGTCACTAGAGTCACAGAGGTCCTGGTTAAGTCAAATAGTAATTACAGAGCTTTCACTCTGAAGATGAGATTATTTTTAATTTATTGAGTATAGTACTTAAGGTACCATACTTACATAATTATGCTACTCATTAAATGGTTACTGAAAGCTGAAATGTAATTTTAATGACAGCTACCTATTTTTCTTTGCACATTTTATAGTTGACAGATTAGTCAAGAGTGTTGGTTCTTATCAAAATCTTTGCAGTTGCACCAAAGTGTTTAGGAGGACAAGAACTGGACTGAGCCCACTTATTGAACTTATAATTCTACTCTTTTTTAAAAATGCAGTTTCAGGTTTCTTTTTCTATTATTAAATAAAAATCCTAAGATGGATGATAGCATTTAAAAATGTTGCTAAATTATATGGAAGAAAATAATTCCAAAACAACTGAATGTTTAATATAAACATGTTGGTGTATTTTGTTAATTCTTTGAAAAGAATCTTACAGCTGTATACCATGAGATTACTCATATAACACACCTCATTTCCTTAAAAAAAATTAATGGTAATGTAATAAATTTAAAAAGATTTAAGGAAAATTAGTCTATGTCTTGCTAAATAAAAATTTCATAATAACACATGTTATTTAACAGCTTGCAGACATTTCCTGTGAAACACTCTATAGTCAGCATAGAATAAGCGTATTATCATACATTTTAAATATCTTTTTTTAAAACTAAAGATTATAGTTAAATACAAAAAAACTCACCAATAGAATATTTCCTCCCTTCTGATATTTATCAGATCAAATATAAAACCCTTCACATAACAGAAACTTTCAGTTTTTTAAACAACTAGGTTTTGTCATAATATATTACAAAGGTTTTCTTAATTTTACATAAGTTTCCAAATGAATATATCATTAAATGTAACCTTCAAAGGATGGTAATAAGGAAAAAAAGCAGTTTTTCTTTTTCAAAAACATACCAAATAGGAGCACAATTGTTTCTCTAAACAGTATTACGGAAAAGATTTCAGAGTTTGCTATATGGGGAAAAGGCAATAAAGTTTTGAAGCGGGAAAAACTGCTTTGTTCCTTCAATCCTCTAGTTGAAATTAATTATAGCAAATGTTTATGAAAACATCTGTTCCTTACAGTTATAAATTCTTAATTTTAGTATGGATGCTTCCAGACTCTTATTTTGGAAGGAAATTGTCTGACAATTGAAAGGTTTACAAAAGAACAGACAAGACTTGTAATTCTGGAAAACTGTATGTATGGTGTGCTATATCCTATAGAGATTTTTGTTTGTGTGAATTATTTGGAGGGGCTTAAAACTGGTAACTAGGAGAAATCAAAGACAAACAGAGAGGCTCATCTTTCATTTAAGCGATCATACAATAAAAACATATCTGTAACCCAAGAAAACACCAACTAGAAATTATAAACAAATGCTACTTTACTACCAATCTGATTTGGAGGTAAGTATAATAAACTACGCATTAATTTTATGAGGGATTTAAATAAGTCTAATGCCAATACAGTCATGGTAAGGTATGTGTAATGTTCCTCCAAAATAACAACAGAGGGTGCAAGAGAGTTTAATACGACATTTTTGGTTTCTATTCTGATTCCTGAAATAAGTTGTCAGGTAGATGTAACTGTCACAAGAATACACAGATTGTTTTCAGATCTCCCTCTCTCTCTCTCGCACACACACACATGCATAAATTCATTATTAATCTTACACAAAGACCTTTAAATGATCAAACAGCACACAAACTTAAATGTATTTTAAGATAACAGACTTCCTGTCACTTGCTTGAAAAGTAGTAACAGAGTAAATTTTTAAGATGCAACTGTGATTTCAAAGGTATTTCAATATTTAGTGTAAACCATGAAATAATCTAGATATAGTGATTAAGCAAATTTTAAATGGATACATAAATGAAATGCAATATATAACATATATATGTGCTGTTATGTATGTATACTGCATAACATATTATGTCCTAATAATAACAGTTTATCAATTGTGACTATTAGAGTTTGAAATTTACATAATACATTCATTTCTCATTACCTGTTTAGTAACTTTGTAAAATGAATTCATAACATTCATAATTAAAATAAGTTGGCTAATTTAAAAAAAACACTTGTAGTTATACTGTCTTAAGTAAGGATATAAAAAATATATTATTTTCTATTAGCAATTTCTAACATACATGTATCTAATTCATTAAGCCAATAATATATGTAATAGTAAATTTCAAAACAGGATAAATCTAACACTGCATTCCTTTTAGCTTTTATGGCAGTCATGTTTGGCTAAGGGCATTTATAGTATTTATCTGTACACTGCTGAAATCACAGTAAGCAAAGGTTTACAATAGATTTCTAGAGTACTTTTTATGCACAAACATCTACTTCATGATGGGAGAAGCAGAGATTTTAAACTGTGTTAAGCTAAAAACAACCAGAAAAACACTATAAATAAGCAGACCTACTCAAATGTGCCTTCAGTTTACATCTAAAAAACATAAAGTTTTAGAGTATCCTATCACACTGGGTATGAATTCCAAAAAGTATTATATAACAAGAAAAAGGGTTATCTCTGAATTGTTAGAGAAATGACATTATGTATATGTCATAAATATTTAGTAGCAAGAGGGGGAAAAAGATTTGGTTCAAACCCAGTTGAAAACAAAGCTATGGGTGGCCACACTTTAGTTGTGATAGGATAATATGGCATAAATGAATGAGGTAAAGACCTAAAACCTTCTGTGACTCTTAAATAAATGAGCCTTACTATGAAATATTTTAATTAAATTAAAAATCCCATTAAAATAAAATGATCTCCCCACTAAAAATACCTTATGATTTAAGCATATTCCTGTGTTGACACACACTAAGGCAAAACATAATGACTCAGCATCATCTATTAAGACAGTAGTCAGTAAGGATATTTCCTCATGTCAGGAATCACACAGACATCAGTTTCTGTAGGCTAATTATTCATAGTATATATCCAAGACCACACATTAAACCTAATTAAACCACATTAAACAGCCAGCACTCAAGTAGACACAGGCAAACTGTATATTTACTACTTCTCAATTTCCTCTCTATTGTTAACTTATCTACATTCAAATGATTTAATGGCCATATTTAGTTCTCTCCATATTTTCAAATTCTTATTTTAGATAATGAAAACTCAAGTGTGAAACAAATATATAGGGACAAATTAAAATAAATAACATTTCTGAATGCCAATTTCAATTTAACATGATAGCATTACTATTATTCCTATATATTAATAGAAATATTTTTAAAAGAAAGAGTGACATCAACATGGTAGCAGAATGTACAACTCCAAATTCTCATACTCCCAAAAAACATGGAAAAACAAGCAATAACTGTCCAACTTTGATGACTCTGGAAAACAGTCACAGATCTATAAAAACCAAATATACAGTGAATTCAGAAAAAGGCAATTTGAAAACTTTGTAATGTTCTTACTTGGCCTTGCCCCATCCCTCCCTGGCCTAGCAGTAGTCTTGAGAAGGAGGTCAGTCCCCAGTCTGATATACTAGGAGGCATCTGGAGGGAGCAGAGCAGACAGTATTTGCAAAATATTGTGCAAATCTGTTCTAACTTGTTTAGGAGCTACCTGAAGAACTGACACAAGAGGTACATCTCTTTTTGGTCTAACTAAAAAGTAGAAGGCATTGCTTTTAAATACATAGCAAACCAAGCTTATCCAGTGATACTTGGGGCAAAAGATGACAACTGAAACATAAAACAGACTATCTAAGGCTCAGAAGCAAAAGCTAATGAGAGTTTCTTTGAAAAACTAGGATATTCAAAAACACCCACTTATATAGGGGAATGTATTAGGTCAGGCACATGTTCAGGGCGAGATGCATGACCTTATGGGAACTGA